TTCTGCTCTGCAGTCATTTTTTTGCTGTAAAGGCAAAATGTCAGTCATTAGGGGCTCTATTACCCATTGCTACTACTTGTAGGTAATTAATGAGAAGTTAGTGCTATCAAATAAATAAAGGCAAAGGTGAAATTCATACAAATGAATTTAGTGGTAGCTGGGGAAACAAAAATTGCTTAATTAATGTATCCGTGGTACCTTTTTCGAACTCATTACGTGAAATTAATGGTTTCTTACAATGTTGATGAGATTATTCTGATAAAGTACAGAGACATAGAGGATCATGGAAATCAAAATGCATAGTTAAGTAACCCTGTTGGGGCTGATGTAAATAAAGTAGGTAATATGTGACACGATCTTGCCTTTTAAAATTAAAAAATTGGCCCATGCTCGAGTGAATTATGCAATCTTTACGAAGAGTTAAAATAGCATAAAGAATAGTTCGAAGCCTTCCGACTCCTAATCGTAGGCGGAAGAAGACATACTACCAGGGCAGAATATCAATTGCCGACTTAGAGATGGGCTGAGATCAAATAAAATGGCCCAGAGGGTCATACCAACTGGTGAAAGTGGTGCCCGCAAAATCAAAACAAGGCGTTAAATAAGTAATCAAAGTGCTACATAGCCCCTCTTCCTTTTTGAGCGCCTCTACTCAGGCGCTCACCTTAATCAGCCTCCTGCTTTTGGCCATAACAAAGTAGTCGGTGCAGTAAGGAAAAGACCCACAAACCATCCCCGCCAGTCATCGAATTTGTGAGCTTTAGGCAATTCTACAGCAAGTCGAGTTTAGCCTGTTTGGGAACTGCATTCAAGGGACGGGGGAATGTGCTGACCATTTCGTGTCCACATTGCTAGTCGTATAAATGCTCCATAAAAGCAGTCATTTAATAAAGAACGGGGTGTAAAGTAGTTTCGCGGGAATAAAGTTTTGTGTCCATTCTCACTTTAGTGCTGCCTAGCTAGTAGAGAGACGGAGGAGGTATCGCGGGTTCACTTGATCAACATCCTCCAATAGATACCGTAAAAAGCCTTGTAACGAACCCTCCCAGATGGTTCATGGCTAACGTCATTTCAATTGTTTACAGCTTTCCTGCCGAACACGGGGATGAAGTAGTTGCCAAAGGTCGACGTCATTTGCAACCCTTCTGGTAGGAGTTGCAATGAGTTCCCCCATCTACAGTATGTGCTATTCTTCTGTCACGTTAAGGTTAAGCGAATAGTAATAGAAATCAGGGTAGTAGTTGTCCTTTGGTATCGGGTTCACCTTCCGCTGCCACCAATGACCCGTTCCGAGTCTTTCCTGAAGACGAAAGACGATATAACACTAGGGCCGAATATGCATTCCCGACGTACAGAAGGGATGGGGGACTACTGGAGTAGCCTAGAGGCCAATCCGTCCATCGGAACTGAGGAGGTGGGGCCCTAAAGTGCCCCCGTAAATAAAAAGTAGAACTAAGCCAACAGTCAAAGTACTCTAAGCGTACTTGAATGCATGTTTGTTTGAATTGCCGCAATTTTCTACTAAAATAAGCGCGAGTTTTTGTACTGCATCTAAACATAAGCAAAACATCTTCTTCACCGGCTTCATTAGTCCCCTGAATACGGAATATTGAATCCTTTCTTAAGGAAAATACGAGAGGGCTTTTCCAGTGGCCATTTGGGAATTTGAGGAGAGAATCACAATATTGAAAAATTGTGCAAATTCTAGAAAGAAGCTTATATAGTATCCAAAAAACGACAGCTTTGGCTCCCTCCTCCAGCGTTCACAAAAATTACGAAATTTATGCTCCTGTTTACTATGAAGAACAATTTTTTTGGCATAATCCACTGCAGACCAATCCGGCAAATTACTTCCGATTTGGCGGCAATTTTGTGGCCTCCGCCCTTCCCCCCCCCCCCCCACCTCGAAAAAAGAGTAAAGACATTCATTATTAAAGAAAAAGGGATATATTCAACCTGAATGAGGTTTACAACCATTTTTGCCCCATCTTCATATGCCTATCCATATAATGCAGATAATAAAATGCTCCTCCGGAATAAATAAGAAGCTGTGGCAAACTTTGTCTCGTCGATCATTATGAGTCATTTAACGAAATCTCTTCGAATTTTATCAAAAAACTTTATAAATCAGGTCTATTAATGTGTGTATTCATAGTCTTATTCATAATATTGTTACATCAGTGCAGCGCCCTGAGTCTTTCCTGAGGGGAAATTGAGACAATACTTGGGCAGAATATGCATTACAGACGTACAGACGGGCTACGGGACCAGTGACACGGCCCGAACGGTCATGTCGTCTAGCAGAAGAAAAACCGCGGAGCCCCAAGTACTCACGAAACCAAAAAGAACAGTTAAGGAAGAAATCAAAGCATTACAGAAGTGATGATTGTCTACAATGAATAAGTTAAAGAGTAACAACCAATTAATGCTGTTGAATTCTTCATAGCATCATTCAAATGATCAGATTAGAGGATTGCAACCTACCATATGATATTCCTCTTTGACTTTGAAAACCATTTGACTAAAAATCCTTCTAGCTTTGGTCTGAATTTGCATTAATAATGTTCTCGCAATAAAAGAGATCCTAAATCCATCTGGTGAATGAAAATGGAAGTGTTCTTGGTTTAACGTGTACTTCACTATTTTTACAGAACAGTGGTTGCTTTAACTCTTTCTGTTAAGGAAGTTTCAGTATAAACTACTGTTATTATGCTTCTCATTTACGATTTGACAGCTTTTCTGCCCATTTGTAATGAAATTCTACTAAAACTTTCACCTTCTGTCGTTGCTAGTGTAACCTGAAAGCCATGCAGCAAGATGACGTTAAGATAAATAAGAAATGCATATTGGCATTACTGTAATCCTTTGAGTGCTTACTTAACTCTTTATTTTGGTTACGCAACCACTCGAAGCTATGCGATTGTAATTCCACCGGGCGGCTTGGCATCTGACCCATGTCAGTGAACCCAATCTCTTACCTGTGTCGACTACGTATTCTGCACTAGTATCATGACCTTCTTAGTCTTGAAAAGACTCGAGGCGCTACAATGATGGTACTAGAATGTGAAACTGGTCATAAAAGACAGCCACTCTGATTTCTATTGCTGACTGCCACACTTTTAAGGCGACAAAAGCATACCACACACTGTGAACTGGAGAAGCCTTAATGACTTTAACAGAAAGGTTGACATTGACGTCCACCTCCGACGGCTATCCCAGTCCTGTGTTATGCAGGAATGCAATTAACAACTGAAGCGGCACCAGCCTTATGCCATCTAAAAAAGTTTGTTACGCGCTGTCCACGGCGCATGCATGAGGATGTTAATTACATGAACACGCGGTACCCCACCCCCCGCCTCTCTACCAGCTGGGTAGAGACCAGGTAGACAGAATTAAGCAACACTGCAGTGAGAACAAAGAGGTAAGAATGAATTGATAGGAAAGCCTACATCCACGAAACTACTTTAAGCCCCGTCCTTTATTTGATGACTCTGCTTTTAGGCCAGTGCTTTTACGACCAGCGGTGGACGTGCATGATGGCATGCGCATTCCCTTCCCACAAAACAATTTCCAAACAGGAATTTTCAAGAGAGATCCATGAAGTTGCTGCCCACTATTTGCTCTGTTGCACGCAAATTCGATGACTGACGCAGTTGGTTCGTGGTGAGAAGTTCAAAAGGAGAGAGTGACTACTGTAATGCTTTGATTGTTTGTTTAACTTTCAGTTTTGGTTACGGGCTACTCAGGGGCTCTGCTATTATACTTTTGCTGGGGGCCTGGCCTCCCGAACGTACCAGTAGCCCCAAGCCCTACTGTAGGTCGAAAATACATATCCTACCCAGACATTATGTCTACGTTTGCCTTCAGGGAAGTCTCAGGGAACTATGTACAACCTTAAAATATTTGCTGATAATAACCTGTCAATGCTTCATTGTCGTTCTCGTGTTTACCCAATTCGTATAATCCAATCATACAAATTGCTGCAGCTATTAACTTTCCCGTTTTCAAAAAACATAATTAGGTGATTGGAACTATGGCTAAAGTTTTAATTGCATGTGAAACTTTTATTTAAGTTGACAGGGTTGGGTGTATTTTTCCAAACAATAATCATTTCAAAACACTGCACAATTAAACTACTAGCGCTATATTTCACGGAAATCTTCCACTTTGTTTCCGGAAATCACCTCACACTTATGCTTGATCACAATTTTTTCTTACCTATACAATTGCAAAAACAAGTTTTCCGGATTGCAGAAACCTTTATTTTAGGAGCAAAACGACTTTTTGCTTAGAGTAAGGAATTTCCCTCTCTGGGAATTCCAATTGCCCATAATCAAAGTGACATTGGCACAAAAAATTTGCACAGTGATTTTTCAAAGACGAAGGGAGTAATTGTTCCCATGCGTCCCAGAATATGATGTGAATTATTCTTTTGTAGAGCGTCTCATAATGCCTCGCTCAGGTTGCGACAAATCGTCCGGTGACATTGCTACATTAGAGATGGCAAGGAATCAGCTGCCAGGATTATTTGGTATAAGCTGATGCAATAATTAGTTTTGAGGGAAATATAGAATTAAATCGAGGAAGGACATCATGCAATTGCTAGCATACAATATAAGCACTATCTCAAATATCAAAGTAAATGGTTATTAACCACGACACGCAAGTTTAATTCTTCTTACAAAGTTCTCCATCGGTTAATGAATGTTTACTAGCCAATGTATTGGACAGATTGAGTACTGTAATATGTTTGCCGGAGTCCATGACCGAGAAATAGACTGCTTTTAGCTGATAACGACCATGACTGAAATAAAGTAAACATGAAGATCTCTCCCACAGCTTCTACTTTTGCGTTTTGAACTAATGCGGATTAAACACTGAATCATGAAGCCAAATTCATACCTTCTGTGTGCTTATTATACTATATCACCCAAGCAGACACGACGTCTACCAAGAGCATGGTGGTCATGACTTTCAGTTGCAACTTTTACTTGTAATATTTGTCTGGGTTTAACTTGAATGAGTTATTTTCCGATCTTAAGGTTGCATTTATGTAGATATGACATTCGTTTCGATAATTCCCATCGATTCCGAAGAAAACAGGGTGCAATTCATACAACTTGATTTATTTTATTCCAACCCCCTCAAAAATGAGAATAAAGCTGCTCCTAAAGGTGGTTAACCTCCACATAGAGCATTGCAAATGTTATAGATTCAACCTCGACATCAAGCGCAAATACACTAGCAATTTCTCAAGCCTTTTAATGAATATTGCAGGTTCTGGAAGAACAAAATTTTTCCTATTATATGTTATTTTTTGCCGTCTATGTTGATATAGAACAGCTAAACTCGCATTTCCTATCAAACAGTTATAAGCCTTTTCTTGGATTCTTATTGCCACTTGGTAAATTAACGATGTTTAAATTTCAAAAGCTCCTAGCATTACTGATATCGAGCTGATACAGTGAACAATGCATGATAGCTGAAATAGATGGTATGAACTTCGATAAAAGATTGCAAATAAAAAAACTAATGAGCTTCGTGAAAAAGATATTTGGGAATAGGTAAAGCCAGACCGAAACGTACAATAAATAATTAACGGTGTGTTAAAAGCAGGATGGAGACTCAGCAGAATAAAGCAGCCAATTCATGCAGTTTGCAGGACGTGAAGAAAAGCGGTTCTCCCAAAGTAGAAATCAAGCACCTTACCTTCTGGACCTAGTTCTCACTACTGCAGCCGAAAACTCAATTCTATCTATAATTTTTGTCCTCTAATCTCTTTAAAAATAATTTGCAATTCCATTAAATAAATAAGTCATTCCAGTACAAGTTATCAAGAGGAAGCAGAAGCATTCCCACACGCCGCAACACCGCAACAGTAACTAAGAAAATGTAAATTCTTAAGCCACAAAAATATATTTGCATCTTGATAAAAATTGCCATTAAACAAGATGGGAAATTAACCGACTACTTATCAAATGAAATATTCTTGAGCACATTAAAATATAGTAAGCTTAGTCTGCTCTAAATATGCATTTTTTGAATTTTCAATGACTAGGTAAAGATTTGTTCAAATTTGTGAGTTTTCAATGGATGCTAAAATTTATTCAGTGAGAAAATTATAATAGGAATAGTTAAAAAATCAAGACTATCAGTGAGTTCATTATCAAATAACAGCACTAAAAGCATGCAAGATAGAAACAGATAGGCAAAAGGGAGAAGCCGAACAGGAGGGGGAAAAGGAGTCTATGCGTATCCGTGCTGACGAAGTGATATGCAGGATAAAGGTGAAGACAGCATTTGAAATTGCCGCGACTAGTCCTCTTGTAGTATGTAATGGGTAGTGGTTGTGTTGGTTGCTGTGGTTGAAGTCGTTGCTGTTGCTGCTGTTGCCCCTGGCATTGGAGCTGTTGTTGACACAGTTGCAGTTTCCTCAGAACTCCCGGGGATAAGATGGAATGTACGTGGCTCGAAAAGTTGTCGACTGAAGTGGAATACATGCTACTCAAATGTCGTAAGTAGATTTCCAATGAGAACAAGAAACAGCAACACGTAGAACACGCTTTACGCTAATTTGCAATTTAAATCAGCAGGCGTCTGAACAAAGGCTTAGTCTTAAAACAAAGCAGCCCATTATCGCGTGATAAAAAATAAGGGTTGAGATGATATTTTTCTATCTAGCCACGAAATATGAGTAAATGATGCGAGTCCAGCTCGTAAAAACTGGCTGCAAGTCTAATTTGGACTTAAATGTGGTACTATAGTCAAGGCACATGGGTTGTGCAAAGCTTGACAAAGTAAGTAATGATAAGTACATGAGAGAGACACCCATGGCACGTATTCTCACCCACATTAATCGACCGCCTCCATTTGCGGTGATTACCCTACGATGGAATACTATTGGCCATGTTGGATGCCGTATACTTCTTTATTTGACTAAACTAATCGCGTTTTGACGCCGGGAATCCACAGTTAAACTTCCAATTTGTCTGGGTTTGAATAAGAATCACATCAAAGTTGACCATACTTTGTGCAAATGTGACAACACGTTTGAAATTGAGTGCCGACCTTCAAAACCACTAAGATCGTCACAACTTGACTAACATGGTTGTGTTTGTAATATTGTTAGAAAATATTCGACTCAGAAAAACAGAAAAATATAGCTTAGGATATGGGGTAAAACCCATTTGTCATCAGCTTAAGTGAGAAAATTGTCCATTGGCATTAAGGTAAATAGAGCTGCAGAGTTGGTGTCACTTTCGGCCAAATCCAAAAGATGACGTATTGTGCAGCTTGATCAGAGAGATAAAGCAACCAAAATCCGCATACGTTCAATTATTACCGAGCCTAAATCACAAGGTAGAATAACGCACTGATTGACGGATGAATGGAGAAGTAATGCCTTGCGAAAACAAAAGCAAAGAATGTGAAAACCCTGCACACAAATAACAGATCTTAACTGACAAGACCAAAGCGCATCCCCTATTCACGGTCCTTCAATTCCTGCGTTTCATTTTTTTTCAAGATCTGCCACCGCTTTGTGTGATTCAAATGCAGTTTTGCCAATTCACACAGAAGCGAGTGGTTACCAGAAGATGACGAATCTATTGAAACTTTCAGGACACCTAGCAATAAGTGGCTAGCGTGTGTAACTCTGAGTAACTGACGAGGTGGAAATAGGTGGAGCAGGAGACTTTATAAATGCATTCAAAGTCTAGTATTATCCCACATTTCTATGAAACGCTTCATGCAGTATCGAGACGCACAGTTCACGATATCACAACAAACAACAGTAACCGTATGATTGAGGTCATAATATTTGCAGAGTAAAATGGTAACTATTTCAACCGTACATTCGACTACGCGTTCTTTTGAGTCTTCTACGATCGGAGCTCTAAATATATTACCTACCTATCTTCCAATGTTTTAAGCTATGCAAATCCTTTGTTTGATAAATTGAATAAGAAAATGAAGCACTAAAGAAGCATATACATTCAAATAATTACTTAATAATACTTTTCGGGAAACTAAAAAATTCCGGTTTTATTGGCTACGAAGACACCTTATTTTAAAAAACTTTTAGATAGATTTGAAAGTGATAGTAAAAATGAACTCATGAGAAGTGTTAAGTCGAATAATCTGCTAACTTCACAAGGAACGATAATACTTTATTGGTGGTGTTTGAGAATATGGTTGCAGGACTCTGATGAATGAGATTACCCATGGAAACTTCACACGAGATAGTAATGAAGCTTTTTCCCTTGTAATTGCAGGAATAAGGTCTTAGCAAACCCTATTACAAGGCACTCGAAATGTCTCGGGTGATTTTAAAGCCTTAGAAAACATCAGTAGGTAGTTGAATTTAAAGATTTTCACGCAAAAAGCAAACGAGAGTGTGCCAAAGCTACAAGTGCATGCGTTAGTGCGCCACTTGATGCCACATAGTATAGAACAAAGTTGACAGCGCTCAAGATGCAGTCTCTAAAACCTACCTGGTGCTCGTAATATGGTATGTGAGATCCTACAAAGGAAAACCAGGGAAGCAGTTCTGTTAAATATCCTAAGGTGATATCAAAGCAAAAAATCGCTTAAATTTACTTTATCGAGTCCAAGACAAACTGGATAAATGGTAGTGGTACACAAGGCAGCTTGTAAATGTAGTAATAGTACATTGGCTATTCAATGCTAGTAAAACTCGACGTTTCCGACCGCAGTATTCAATAAAATACAAGATTATGATTTATTCAACCGATTCGGAACACAAACGCGCGGCGGTGCAAACCAAAAGTGTCTTCAGCTTCGTCCACTCGAAAGGGTGTACAATAACAATAACTTACGTGATCTGCACCGAATGTCGTAAATCCATCGTCTACACACGTTTCAAATAATCGGGATTGTAATGACTTGTGTCTGAGTAAAGGAATGCTCTCTCTTATCCATGCAACTGGACCAGACTATTTATAAAATGGAAATGTGTAAAAAAGAATAAATTTACGATTACGACAAAGTAGGTACCAGAACCAGACTTGTCATGGAATTAATTGTACACCATTCGAAAGGACGCCGAGGTTTTTTGTCAACTATGCAGTGAGCGAATAAAACGTTACATTTCCTAACCTAATAAATTATTCAAGCGGTTCATCGTTTGCCGAAGAACAATGAAAAAATGACGTATCTACTGTATACTAAAAAAGAGTCCCGTGGAACGAATTAAACAAGGATAAGACATAATGGAAAATAATTAAATTTATGAGTTGTGAAATTCAACGCTATTTTTTATGGACTCGCAACCATAGTTTTTAATCAAATCCACTGATGTGCTGATGACCTAGACAAAACTCAAGTATCGTTTGCACGCCGCCTAGACTAACAGGTAATTAAATTCTAACAGGAGTATTTACAAATAATTCGTGGAAGCCACGAAAAATCCAAGTTACCACCAGATACACCATTTAAATTTAGACATAACCGCTCCAAATGCTTAGGAATGCGGTTGTATTGTTTCATGCAGCTGCAATAAGACCAGCGCCTCCATTACTAGGATCTTGGAAGAAAATCGCCAAGTACAGTATGCGAGAGCAAAAAAATCCAAGAAATTTAATTTTCCTCAGACCACCTCACACCGATTTTATTGTTTTGCAACCAACCAATCTGTTTGAGGCAAGACTGGGTGAAACCAGCTATCATGACCTGATGAACAACGCAGGTAACATGCAATATTGATAGCGAAGTAGCAAAATTAAACGAAGGTAGTCAATATACTACCACTGAATTGTATGATTTATTAATCAGCACCAATATGCGCCATGTTGGAAAGCATGACCTGGCGCTAGATATGCGGTGCGGCTTTTGGTTAGCGAAGTGAATGACCTTCTGAGCTCATCTCACATTAGTTAAGTCACGTCCGTATCATTTCATCAAGATACTTGCAAGCCCCAGCACAGCTCCAAGACCATTAACCAGTCCAACAAAATTAACTATTCGAGACCAGACGTAGCAGGTACGCAATCTCTTCGTGAAACTCTTTTCCAATCAACGTTATCAAGTTAAAAGATACTGCGTGTACTTTGTTGAAAGAACGTTGCCATAATAATAACTATTTACAAAGGTGAGACTAGAGAAAACAGCATAAGTACTTAGTTGAGTCTCAAAATGGCATTGTGCGGACAATAACCTGCAGATGATTTTAAAATTACATTTCGCCTTCATTGCATCGAAATCAGATAGGAGATCAAGAGAAATACAGCAATGAGTAGGAAATGGTGTGAACACAGGTGTTTCTAAGTCATCTCACGTGTCACAGAGAAATGGAATACCTTTTCGCTTTGTATGAGGCGCATTTCAGATGTGCCAAAAGAAGTGACGATTTGGAACGTATAAAAGTCGTTCAGATAACGCAGTTCTACTGCAGAAAGAGGTTGATGAAGGAGATCTTTTAAAAAGATGCTCCAGTAGAACATAATTATCAAAGTTAAACTCACTCTTCTTTAAATGTGAAGTCATGCGACGACAGCTACACGTTTCGATGGATTCACAAGGTTCTCTAGGTAACGCAGAATGTATCAAAGAATCTAAGGAGCATCGCATTTCACCTCAAAAGTAAGGCATGCCAAAATGAGTTCCATCTTTGAATGAGGAAACAAAAAGTGGTTGATGAACTGCGCGTTCATGAAAAAAGAGAAGCATGAAAAAATGCTTGAGTTAGGGACGATTTGTGGCCAAACTTCAGGCTTACTAAAACGTTACCGCTGTGTAAATGAGCAAACTCAGGACAGAAAAATAGAAGGATGAATCCGAGTGGAATTAGTCACTCAAAAACTCAGGTGAGTTTTAACACAAAAATGAGGATGCAAAAAATGTTCCTGAAGATAACAACAAGACGTACTGATTTGAAGATAGCTGATTTTTCACGTATAAGTCGGATTATCTCTTCATTTCCACCCGCTTCGGCTATGCTAGAAGCTGTTGATCCCTCCTAAAAAGTCAAAAGTATTCACAAATAAGATAAGTGAATTAGCCTATTCTTTTGCCTCGAAGAGATAAGAAGTGGGCTCTAAAATACGTGACCGAAAAATTTTGGGGCGGCAGTCTTTGAGGGCCTGCTATAGCTAAAAACGTACGCAGTTGGATTAGCTCATTGTTCCGTAATTATTATGAAATAAAGTAAATTAGGCTTGGGAAACTTAATTAATTTTTGTACCTAATAAAGAAGGTTTATTATATAACGCAAATTCAGTAACATTTTTGAAGGATGTGTTTAAAATATTGCTAGAGGTACTTTTTAACCACATAAATGACAGGCTTTATGGGCCATTCACACGACTATTTTTTGATCGAACGCATAAATAATTTACACCAACTTCACTAACCGCAACAATAGATTTCTAATTTCTATATATGTATTATATAACATGTTCGCTGCCATTAATTTGTCGACCAATTCAACTGCTGCTCAAAAATAAAGCGATGCAACTATCCTCAGACCATGAACATTCCACATTTATTTTAGTGACCTGTCTGCACCAGCATTTGGTGCGACCACTTACTATAAACCGGGAAAGAAAACGCGTCAAATGTTTGTCAGTATTCGCGACTCGGAGCTCGGATAAATTCAAAGTAAATATGGTAAAAAGCAAAAAAATCCTAGATTAGGGGCTATACAACAGCATGTTTTTTCAGACACATGACTGGAAATAAAAGGCAAAGGATATGCTGAATATGGCCATTGCGATGTTTCAGCAGTTTTCACTGGCTTCTATTAAAGCCATGGTTGAGTTCCCGCATGCATGGAGTCGTACACAGCAAGACCATGCTCACTTATGCGCATGTTTACAGGTGAAGAAGATCCCAAAAAAGACAGGAGCACTGAAAAATAAACATCCATTGTAACTCTGTGAGAGCATCTATTGCGACAAGCACATTTTACAGGGTTAATTAAGGTTGGAATTCTCCAGGTGATAGGTGTTTTGACAGTGGACTGCACCGAAACACCTATCTCAAGCAAAAGGGTAAGGCTATCAATTGTGCCAACAGAGGAGGCACTCTTGTCAATCATGCTGCAGATTAACGCAATAAATACAGCAACGGAAGAGCTTAGTTCTGATTTATTTGTTGCGAGATGCGGATCAAAACATAAGTTATGTGATCTCAATACTAAGAACTCTGTTTTGGAAAATTTGAGGGACTACTAGAAAATATCGCTAAGCATTGATTTAACGGAGAATCAGGAGAATGATTTTACAGATCAGATTAACGAAACCTATAAGTACGAGGGAGAAGAAATCCAGAGTGAAAGTCCTGGTGTTTAGCACAGCGTTTCTACAATTCCTTTGCAATAAAAATACTAATCCTGCTATTCTGTCGAAAAATAAAAGGCAACATGCCCTCTTGCAAGACATAGATAAGCGATTCAACTAAATAGTACCATTTGTAAGCGGTCAACAATTCACTGGACATTTTGCAGTTTGCTCGATGAAGGTCAAGTAATAGAAACGATTGAGATTCATCTACTGGACACAACTTGAAAGTGAGAAATAGCTAGAAAGAAAGAGCTATTCCTACTACGCAAGACCTTAAACTGCACTTTAGGATAAAAGGGAGATACTGTACCAGCCTTATCCTCCGTATTCCACCGGTGATACTGCCTTAAATAATGACAATTGTATGCGAAGTGGATGTCGGGAATTGAAACCAACACAGAGACGGTTACTTGCTTCAAAGGTGGAATTAGCGAGCTTGTGCCTCGATAAGAAAGGACTACAGATTGCAGTGATGATTATTTCAACAAATGAAAGAATTCAAAGAAATTTAGCCAATAAATATATGTAAAAGTCGCATAGAATTGTACAATTACCTAATAAATCACTCGTAACATTTGAGTAATGGCAGATCGGTGCACATTTTCAGACAGTGGTTATGAGTGAAATTGGGGTTTTAAGGCACTAAACGCGTCGCTGCCTACACGGTGAACCGTAACTTCTAGATCGGCCAATGTTTGAATGAATTTGCATGCAATAATCTTGCACAAATCTGAATTTTTCGATTGCCACCAGCAAAGAAGAAAAACAGCAAGAGCTTTTAAGTGTTTACTCATCTAGTTCAAGCAAACAAAACCGATAATCTATTCAGCATGCATGAGCTAGGTTAAGTTACACACAACTGAAATGTACTTTCTACTTAATTTTTGACAAAAAGTCAGATTCTGATGTCCCATCCGCACACGTAAATTCATGACTGAATAGCTGAGAACTACGGGATCTTTTAATTGTCTTTCAACATTTGTAGTTGGGTACTTTTACACAAATCAAGCAATAAGTTGACGACAATAGAACGCAAAATAATGCCCCGTGAAGATGCAAAATTCTTTAAATGTGAATTTAAGCGTTAATACTGCACAACACTGACTATTTCACTGATCGATTTAGTTACACGACTTGGTCAAAGCACAAAAAGAAGGGTACTTCCTAGTCTTGCTAGTGCACGTGCAGGATGGATCTTTATTCCCATCCTGCTCAGATAAAATGATCAAATTCTGTGCATGAGAAGCCTCGAAACAATTGGTTTTTTGGGAATTCTCCAGACAAAAAGTACTAGCGTTAAGTATTTCAGCTATAATATCCAGAGGAAAAGCGATTCCTGTTTTCTATGCCCTGAAATATGTCACAATTTTAATGCGGTCATAACGGAAATATATTTAAACTATCGAACATAAAAGAAAAGCAGAATCGCTAAACCTTTGGATAATCACTATAGCACTGACTCATTTAGATATCTCAATTAAGGTATTAAAAAAGACTAGACGATTTGACGAATTGGAGTGGAATTAATTTTGCCGGTGACTGGCCATGCCACATTTATGTAGGATGTAACCGTTTTGCAAAACATTAATCAAAAAGAAGCTACAGGGTTCAAAGAGAACAAAACCCCACATGTTGTTACGTTGGAGTTTCATAAGTAAAACCAGCCTCTTTCATAACTAGCACCGATCAGTAAATAGCGGCGGTTGTGATTGTAATTATGGCAGTGGTGAGTTTCAAAGACACTGATAGCGGTAACCAAAACGAATGAATCAGTGCACGAAAATCCCACCCCTCCATACCTGATCCTTCAGATCCACATTGAGCTCCGGTCGGGTGATAAGGAGTTTGACCATGTCTAGATTGCCGCAATCGATGGCACACATTAATGCAGTGTTGCCGATGTCGTCCTGCGCGTTGACATCCGCGCCATGACGCAGCAGTAGCTCTACCACAGTAGTATTCGCCTTTCGCGCCGCCAACATCAACGGCGTCTGACCCGGCGCAGTTCCTGCCCGCGCATTCACGTCGCCCGCTGCTAGCAGACGCTCCAAAACAGGTATTGCCGACGAATCTATCGACTGTGTTTTCCGGGCAACACAGTGACAAAATAGATAATGCGTAAATCCTCAACTAGACCGCATATCCTATGGCCTACAGTTGTCCAGTATCCACTGCCTAAGATAATGTGGAGGAGTTGATACATTAATAAGGGATGTTCATGTGGAAATTCAACATTTGGTTTCATCAAAAAAGTAAGAGATCAGACTTCAAGAAGTGAAGACTGTATTCATTTGTAAAGTAGCCACCAGTTATATTTTTACTCAGCCCAGCAGCTAATATCTAAAAGCAGCTTTTGGTAATAGAAAGACTTCATAACGACCTAATTCACTTCGTCTTCAATGGCGCTTTGGTGCTTTTGATCCTGAGCTAACTGGATGTGCCCACGATTCGTCAAATGCAATAAATCAATCTAGAAAATCTTGATCTCGCCTGTCAAAACCTTCCTTTAACTTAGTGCAGCATTTAGCTCTTCATACTGGTCGGAAGCAAAAAGTTATCATAGTAATTAATCAACATGAATGAGTGAACTGTTTTCACTTCTCTCAGGTGTCCAGGATCAGAAAGATATTCTACGCAATGACTGAGTGATCATAGAAACGGCTGTCGAGGCTGCAGGCTGGGAATCACCACGTACATCGTCGTCACTGAGGGGTGTTGCAGTCGTCAAATTCCCTGCGATGGACAAGTGAGCGTATCGTCAACGCGCTGTGCATGAAGTCTTCTGTGCAGACATATCCGCAAGTTTTTTTGCCTTTGTTCGTCGCCAGATGCTATGAGCACCACCACTTGGTTCATGGTGTCTGATGTGTAGGGACCACAATAGTGTTTGTAGTATAAACGTGAAAATAAGTCCCCGTTTTGACATAAATTCTCCTAGTATTAT